GGCGCCGACCCGGCGGCCGTGGCCGCGGTGCTGCCCGAGCTGAGCGGCGTGCCCGGCCGGGTCGAGCCGGTCGGCGCCACCCCCGCCGGCGGCGAGGTCTACGTCGACTACGCCCACACGCCCGACGCCCTGGCCGTGGTGCTGCAGGCCCTGCGCCCGCACGTGCGCGGCAAGCTCTGGGTCGTGTTCGGCGCCGGCGGCGACCGCGACCCCGGCAAGCGCCCGCTGATGGGCGCGTCGGCGGCGCGGCACGCCGATGCGGTGGTGGTGACCGACGACAATCCGCGCAGCGAGGACCCGGCCGCGATCCGCGCCGAGATCCTGCCGGCCTGCCCCGGCGCCACGGAAATCGGCGACCGGCGCGCGGCCATTCATTTTGCGCTTGCCCGGCTCGACGCCGGCGATGTGTTGGTGATTGCCGGAAAAGGCCACGAAACCGGCCAGATCGTCGGCGACACCGTCCTGCCGTTCGACGATCGCGAGGTCGCCCGCGCGGCCATCGCGGAGCTGGCAGGAGATGACGAATGACCGAACCACTCTGGAGCGCCGAGGAGGCGATCGCCGCGACCGGCGGCAGCGGCCCCGCCGGCTGGCGGGCCAACGGCGTGTCGATCGACAGCCGCACGGTCCAGGCCGGCGACCTCTTCGTGGCGCTGGAGGGGCCGACCTTCGACGGCCACGACTTCGTGGCCGACGCCCTGGCCAAGGGAGCGGCCGCGGCCGTGGTGCACCGCCGGCCGAGCGGGGAGCTCGCCGGGGCGGCCCCGCTGCTGTCGGTCGACGACACCCTGGAGGCGTTGCGCGCCCTCGCCCGCGCCGCCCGGCAGCGCAGCCGGGCGCGGGTCTGCGCCGTCACCGGCTCGTCGGGCAAGACCTCGACCAAGGAGGCGCTGCGGGCCTGCCTCGCCGCCCAGGGCGAGACCTTCGCCAGCGCCGCCAGCCTCAACAACCACTGGGGCGTGCCGCTGTCGCTGGCGCGGCTGCCGCGCAGCGCCGCCTTCGGCGTCTTCGAGCTGGGCATGAACCACGCCGGCGAGATCGCGCCGCTGTCCGAGCTGGTCCGCCCCGACGTGGCGGTGATCACCACCATCGGCCTGGCCCATATCGAGTTCTTCGACAGCCAGGCGGGGATCGCCGACGCCAAGAGCGAGATCTTCGCCGGCATGGGGCCCGAGGGCACCGCCGTGCTGCCGCGCGACGACCGCTTCTACGA